TCCTGCGAAAAAACCAAACCCAAAAACAAAAAAAAAAAAAAAAAAAAAAAAAAAGAAGAAGAAACTGTCATTCCAAGGTCAGGAGTGAATTGAATAACTCAGAAGCCTCTGGGGTGCTTGCCTCTGTGGCATGAGTCTTCTCTCAGTTTCCAGTCTTGTAGGCATACCCAAGAATTATGAGCAGCTATAATCTACTTCCCAGTGCTACCGTGAGGCTTAAGATAAGGCATGGGAAAGTAGCGCAATGCCTGCAACAGGCTCTCACTTTTGAGTTTCCCTCTACTGCTCCATCACATTTTGTCCCCTGAGCCATGTATTACTTTGTATTATGGTTTGCCTTTTACATAGATCCTTCCTTTGCCAGAAAACTAAGCTTGTAGCATTCACCGAGTCCTCCTCTGCTTCTAAAAATCCCTCCTAGCAGTGCATTGTCCATTGTATTTGAGAGAATGTGTGGAGGGTGGTGATGATGAGGAGGTGAAAGCTGTGTGTCACCCTTAACAGGACAGCATCATGCTACATGCTGGAGCTTGAAGAATGTGCTAGAGACCGTACTACTTTCTCAGGCCAGCCTTGTGGTGCAGTGGTTAAGCATTGTATCTAGAAGGCTGGATCCCACATGGCCAACCGCTGGTTTGAGTAGCAGCCCTAGTGGCTTCAGGAACACGCTGTACATGACCAAAATCCAGACGGGATGGAGAATTGGAGGGAAAAGGACTGTGGGGACCTGCTCGGCTGAACACATTTTTCTGAGTGGAGCAGGCTGTGGATTAGAAATAGACGCAGTAACAAACACACAAAGACACATAAGTGTAGAACAGCGAGGATCAGGTGGGCCCAGCTTCTCTGGTAGAGAAGTTGCCACCCCTGAACCAGCCTCAGGTTTATTTTTTTGAAAGGGCAGAAAATGGGGTAAGAGGAAATGGAATGCAGAGAGAATGGGGGAAGAGGAAATGGAATGCAAAGCCAGTTGTTTTTGGATGTAAATCATCTGAAGACGTGAAAACGACTGGCGCCCTGTAATTTCTCTGATCTTTTTGGGGCAAAATCTGATTAACACTTGTGACTTCCTTTAGCAGTACAGAGTAGGGGTAAAGGAGTATTAACAACAGGAAGATAACCAGTAACAGCAGCAGGCAAATAGCGCTTTCGTATGTAAATACTTCTCAATAGCCATTGCTGGAGTAGCTCACAGGGAAGCGCATTTCTGCATGCCTCTAAAGGGCACTCCGTGTTTGCTCAGATCGCCACTCTCTACCAAGGACTGCAGCATCTCCAAGTCCCTTGAGGGTGCTTGCTTGCTCTCACTCTAGCTCTCTGTCTTGAGTGCATATATCCTCTGGCAATTAAAAAAAAAAAAAGGCTTTTCTCATATAGGTAATGAACAGCCTAAAAACTTGCCTTTCTTTTTTCTTTAGAGAGGTTTTTGCTATAGAGTGCTTGCACTCCGTGGAGAGACAGAGAGACAGAAAGTAAGAAATCATCCCCCCCACCACCACCCCCAATCCCACCTGAGGGGATGGCCATGCCACAATCCCTCCTTCAGTCTGCTCTTGGGATTTGGGACACACACACACACACACACACACACACACACACACATACACACACACATGTGAGTTTTAAGCAGCCAGGTCTGGGACTCAAACTGCAGTTGACTACTACTTGGGAGTCAAGCGTGGTAACCATTATGCCATCTGCTAGTCCGGAAACTTGCCTTGCCTTTCTTTTTTGTAACTCCTAGCCTACTCACACTGTCTCCAACCTTTTAAAAAGTATTATTTTAATTTTTAGTATTGTGAAACCGTTTTTAAAGTTTTTTTTTTTTTTTTTTTAGTTTTTCTTTACTTTTTTTTTTTCCGAGAGGTTTTTGCTATAGGGCGCATGCGCTCACCAGAAAGACAGAGAGAGACAGAGAGATAGAAAGCAAGAAATCACCCCCCAGGTAGGATTGTCACGGTGCCCCCAGGTGGGATTGTCACGCTGCAATCCCTTCTCCTCCATTCTCCTCTCGGGATCTTGGGCGCGCGCGCGCGCGCACACACACACACACCCGGCGTGAGTGAGTTTAAGCCGCCGGGTCCAGGACTCGAACCGCGATCGACTACGTGGGAGTCCAGCGACATAGCCATTATGCTAACTGCTGGTCCTTAATTTTTTAGTTTTTCTGCATGCACTTGCTGGAGAGAGAAAGAGACAAGGACAGAGAAAGAGAAGGAAAGTGAAAAGTCACCCCCTGGCTTTCTTTCTTTCTCTTTCTCTCTTCCTTTAAAATGAATTATTTACTTATTTTTATTCATTCATTTTTAAAATTTAATCAGAGAGAGACACAGAGAGAGAGAAAGAGGAAGTGAGAAAGCAAGCCACCAGGTTCAGACCTTGAACCATGGTTGACCATGTGGGAATGTCCAGCGCCTTAACCACCACGCCACCTGCTGGTTCCACACCCCCTGATTTTCAGCTCAAATGGCCAAGTTGGCTATGTGGGATCGAATGCTTTCACTTCCACACTACCTGCTGGCCCCAAATTATTTTTTTAATATTTATTTTATTTTATTTATTATTTTTTGGAAGTTTACTATAGTGCACATGTGCTTACCAGAGAGAGACACAGAGAGAGGGAAAGTGAGAAAGCAAACCACCAGGTCCAAGACTCAAACCATGGTTGACCATGTGGGCGTCCAGGCTCAATCACCATGCCACCTGCTTATTCCAATCCAAACAATTTTTTTTTAATTATTTTTTTGGGGGACCAGCAGTTGGCATAATGGCTATGTCGCAGGACTCCCATGTCGTCGACCGCAGTTCAAATCCTGGACCCGGTGGCTTAAACTCACGTATGGCACGTGTGCGTGTGTGCCCAAGATCCTGAGAGGAGAATGAAGGAGGGGGGATTGCGGCATGGCCACCCCCCCTGGGGGGTGATTTCTCACTTTCTATCTCTCTGTCTTTCTGGCGAGCGCATGTGCCTTAGAGCAAAAACCTCTCAAAAATAATTATTTTTTTAGGGGCTGGCAGGTGGTGTGGTGGTTAAGGGTGCTGGACTCCCACATGGCTGACTGTGGTTCAAGTCTTGGACCTGGTGGCTTGCTGTCTCACTTGTTCTCTCTCGCTTTCTCATTCTATCCCTCTCTGGTCAAATTGAAATAAATAAATGAATAAACCCATAACCACCACGCTACCTGCTGGCCCTGCCCGATTTTTTAAAAAAATATTTCTTAAATTTTATTTGTTATTATTATTTTTTACTTTTTATTTATTAATTTATTTTTTTCTTAATTTGACCAAAGTGAGGCACAGAGAGAGAAAGAGAACATGAGAAAGCAAGCCACCATGTCCAGGACTCGAACTAGGGTTGGCCATGTGGGAGTGTCCAGCGCCTTAACCACCACACCACCTGCTGGTCCCCCAGCCCAAACAATTCTTTTTCCTTTGGAGAAGTTTTTGCTATAGGGCACATGCACTGGTCAGAAAGAGAGGCAGCGAGACAGAAAGTGAGAAATCACTCCCTAGGGGGGATGGCCACACCGCAATCCCTTCTCCTCTAGCCTCCTCTCGGGATCTTGGGTACACACGCACATGGGCCTGGGCATAAGTGTAAGCCACAGGGTCCAGGACTCGAACCGTGATCGACTGCATGGGAGTCCAACGACGTAGCCATTATGCTATCTGTTGGTCCCACAGCCTAAACAATTTTTAAAAAAAACACTTTTTTGAGGGCTGGGATGTGGCATGGTGGTTGAGGATGCTGGACTCCCATATGTCCAACCGTGGTTCGAGTCCTGGACCTGGCAGCTTGCTTTCTCTCTTTCTCTCTTTCTTTCTTTTTTTCTCTCTCACACAGTGTCCCTCTCTGTCCAAATTAAAATAAATAAATAAATAAAGTTAAATAAAATAATCCTAAAAAAAATACTTTTTTGTTTTTTTGAAGGAGAGTTTTGCTATGGGGCACATGCACTCTCCAGAGAGTTAGAGAGAGACAGAAAGATAGAAAGTGAGAAATCAC